GAAGCCTGGGGGCCCGCAGGCGCTCGTTAGTTCCGTCTGCTTCCGCCCGTTGCGGCTGGGGCCGGCGCTAGCGGGCGCGGCGGAAGCTGGCGGGGGCGGCGAGAAATAGCGGAAATTTGGAGGCGGTAGCGACGGCGGGGGATTCGGGCCAGGGGGCGGCGGAAGCCGGCGGGGACAATGGCGGAAGCCAGTGGAAGCATGGCGCCGCGAAGCAGAAGCTGGCGTGAGCTAGCGAGTGCCTGTGTACCCGGAGCATCACAGGTCACGATCGAGCAGGACTTGGCCCCCCAAGCCGCAGAAGCTCCACTGGCGCGCGCGCAGACAGGTTCGCCGCGCTGAGCTCGCCAAGGAGTGCGCGATCATGAACTGCGAGCAGATCGAGAAGAGCGACGCCCTCGAGCTGGGCGCGGTGCGCGCGCTGCTGGGCGAGATCGAGGCGCGCGCGGGCGCCCCTGAGACCGTTCTGGTGTTTGAGCCCGCGGCGGCTGTCGCCTGGGCTTGAGAGGGCCAGGGCGAGGGCGATCCCGCCGCCCAGCCGCCCGAGGACCTGCTGATCACGAGAGTGTTCACGAGGGCGAGGGCGATCACGCCGCCCGAGCGCTGGGCCGAGAGAGTCCACGAGGCCGAGCACCTGCTGATTGTGGTGCACTCCGAGGCGCCCGCGCGCTACACATACCTCAAGGTCGGTGGTTGCTAAAGTTGTCCCTGCCCACGGGAGCCTCCAGTTTTTCGCGCGACGCCCTCGAGCGGCCGTCCGAGAGCGCCGAGCAGGCCGCCGCGGGGGCACCCCAAAAGCTCGGCGCCATTGGCCCTGCCGAGGAATGCCCTGCGAGAAGCAGCGAGATGTTCCAGGTCGATGGCTGGTCCTGTGCGCCCTGGGTTGGTGGTGGGTCGATCGCGCCATGCGCGAGATCCGAGGCGAGGGCCGCCTGGCGCCCGTTAGCATCGGCGCGATGTGCGCTCGAGGCAACGAGTGGATCCGCAGGCTCGCAGAGGCCATCGAATGCGACCTGGCCAAGGCCGAGGCCAAGGCCGAGGCCGAGAGTGCTGCCGAGTCCCAGCCGCCCAAGGAGCCGACCGCGCTCGAACCCAAGCGCAAGGCCATCGAGGAGGCAAACGCTGCCGCCCAGGCCTGCAGCAAGTGCCTGCCGTGCAAGGACGGCACCAGAGGATGCTGAGCCTGCGTGGGCGAATGGTTCGAAGCGGTGCGCAAGGGGGGTTTCTCGGCCGGGAGCGCCGAGGACCTCTCCCGCGCAGGCCGCCTTTAAGCGCGAGGCTCGAGGGCGCCAAGGACAGTTTGGTTCGAGGATCTGGTAGCACGAGCGCCCAGGATCATCATCATCGTCTTCACCAGCATCCCCCGCCCGGAAAATTGTTAATTATTTTCCCCAGACCGCGAGCTTCATTATCCCAAGGGGTTGAATATCACGGTTAGTCGGTTACCGGCGATGCTGGTGGTGGTGATGATGATGGTACTGTTGATGATGATGATGATGCTGATGATGATGACGATGGTGATGATTACGGTGCTGGTGGTGGTGGTTGTGGTGGTGGTGTTGATGATGATGGTGATGATGATGGCGTAGCTGGCGGTGGTGGTGGTGGTTGTCATGATGATGCTGATTCTGATGTGGTTGATGATGGTAAGCACGGTGAGGAGACTATCGTCCGTGATCAGGATGGTGGAGGCCGCGATGAGGTGGTGGTGATTGCGAGATCGATACCGATGATGATGATGATGTGGGCGGTGATTGTAGTTTGATGATACCGTTGGTGTTGTTAATGCTGCTGGTTTTGGTGGTAACCGTGAGGATGTGGTGGTGAGGATGCGCGTGGTTTTGACGAAGCCGATGGCAAGGAACATCATGACGGTGGCGATGGTGTAGAGGTGGTGATTGTGATGGTTATGGCGGTTTCGATGATGAATGTGGTGATCATGGTGACGATGAGCATGCGGATGTTGATGATGACGGTTATGACTGGTGAGGGTGAAGCTAATGATTGTGGTGCAGGAAATTGCTGCGTCAGGTGCGATCCAACATATCAAATACATAGAAGATTTATTCGTATTACATATATCCAGTTTCTTTCTGATCCTTGGCGCCTGCGCCACGATTTGAATACTATTATAGCAATATGGTATATATATGTATATATATATATATGTAAACATGTACAGATTTCATGGAATGCATGGCAGTTATAATACAGTGCCATACATGGGACAGGGGGCTGCCGAATTTGCATCGATTAATATCGGCAGGGAAACTCTTCAAGCAAACGTGCAGCATGAACCGGAAACATTATTCTGTGCGGAAAGAGAACCCTTTGAATAACTGTGCCTCCCAAGTGTGAGAAGTGGGGGAGACCAGAGAGACCTTCATTTGGACAGCACGCATCTCCCAAAACGTCGGCTTAGTGGCTGTCGAGCCAGTTTAGACGGCAGACGTCCTGTTCGGGGCATTGGAAGGGTACAAACGCATGTGAACCAAGGGTCAATGGAGAACACACCACCCGGACCGGACAAGTGGCGTTTACTAACCGGCCCTGGGCGTTTTCTTGAACAACCCTGCCCTGCTTGATTCTTACTTTGGGTGCGTTTACTAAACGGCTTCGCGTGTCGGGGTGGTTGCCATCGGGGTGGATTTTCTGCCGCCTAAAGGGGGGCGCCCACCGTGGAGGGCGGGCGCTCCGACGGCAGCGGCCTGCCGGGTGGGCCCGAGCGGTGCTGGTGGCCGCCGCCAGAGCAGCACCAGCCTGGCGTGGCCGATCGCCCGTCTGGGGGCGCGGGCCCGCGCCCGGCGGCCCCGAGCGCCCCGCTCCCGCAGGGCGCGCCTGCGGCGGGGGGGCCCTTCCCGCCTGCGTCGAGCGCGGCCGGGGGCTAAATCTCAGAGGCGACGATGGGGGCGAATAGTTCTGGGGAGAGCAATACATGTATCCAGTCAGGCGATCGCAAACATGGATCAAGGGGGCGTGGATTAGCGACGGGTCCCGTTTCCATGGCAAATCGCGGATTTCCGCCGCCGAGCGAGGCGGAACCGGCCGCATGTTTGGGGAGGGCACCTCCCCCGATCCATGGATTTGGCGATCGCGCGCCCAATCCATGGATCGCTAATCCATGTTTGCGCACCCCCGATCCAGGGGCGCCGATGATTTATGTTTTCGACAAGGCCTAATGCCCGCCCCTGGGCTATTCGCCAAGGCCCCTGGGCCATTCGACAAGGCCCCAGGCTATTTGCCCAGGGGCGCCGATGATCTATGTTTTCGACGAGGCCCCTGGGCTATTCGCCGTTATCGTTGCCTTGGGGAGATCCCGCGCAGGCGGAAGTGATCCTCGGAGGGCCATTGGGCGTCGTGGGAGCGCTTGGCGCCTCTGCCTCTCCCTCCGCCGCTGTGTGCCTCCCGTTCCTGCTGTTGGCGCCACGCCTCGTCCCAGTCGATCCGGCTTCTGCCGTGGCGGCAGATGCCTGGGTGTCGTGGTGATAGTCGGCCAGGTCCGCCAGGAAGCGTACGCGGAACTCATCGCTGTCGTGTGGGATCATGAGGTGGGGAGAAATGGATGAGGAGATGGAGGAGGAGGAGGAGGAGGAGGAGGAGGAGGAGGAGGAGGAGGAGGAGGAGGAGGAGGAGGAGGAGTAAAGGGAGGAGGATAAGGACAGGGAGTAGGAGAATAAGGGGAGGTGGGTGATGATGATGATCATGGTGCTGACGAGGACGCTGACGAGGACGATGAGGAGGATGATGATGAAGCGGGGCCAAGCTGGCGATGCAGTGAAGCGCCCGATAGGCAACGCGGCAATCGACACATGAATGCACGATACTGCCAGGGCCAGGAGGAGGAAGAGAGCAGACGGATGGAGGAGGAGGAGGAGGAGGAGGAGGAGGAGGAGGAGGAGGAGTAGGAGGAGGAAGAGGAGGAGGAGGAGGAAGAGGAGGCAGAACAGAAGGGGGAGGAGGGGAGTGGGGAAGAAGTGATGGTCTCAGGACGGAGGCACGACGCTTGCGACGGCCGAGGGCTCAGAGGGAACATTTGTGCAGGCGGACGCGCGCGCCAGGTCGCGGGCAGAGCACGCGAGCCGGCTCTCCCGCCTCCCGCGCGGTGCGCCTGGTGGTTGAAGGAAAATTGCGACGGACGAGGGCATGCAGGGCCAGTGTGACGGGATAAAGTTTGGCTGGGGCGCGCATGATGAAGAGGAGCATGGAGATGAGGAGGGTGAGGAGGAGGATGATGAAGAGGAGGATGAGGAGGAGGAGGAGGAACATGAGGAATAGGATGAGGATGAGGATGATGAGGATGATGAGGATGATGAGGATGATGAGGATGATGAGGATGATGAGGATGATGATGATGATGATGATGATGATGATGATGATGATGATGATGATGATGATGATGATGATGATGATGATGATGATGATGATGATGATGATGATGATGATGATGATGATGATGATGATGATGATGATGATGATGATGATGATGATGATGATGATGATGATGATGATGATGATGATTATGATGATATGTACCTGTACGATAATCCTTGAGAGCGTCTTGGGCCTGCCGCACGGACACGAGTTGCACCGAAGGGGTTCTCACATCCGCTGTCCGTCCTGTCTCGGCTCTAGCTTCAAAGGCGCGCGTCCCCGCGGGGGCTCCCGATGCTCGAGTTGGCTCTGCAGCGGGGAGGCGAGTACGCAGCGCAGGGGGGTGATCAGCCACCCGGCGCGGTGCCCGGCCGCGCCTGACCGTCCGCCCTGCCAGGGCTGACCTGTCAGGCGTGCGGGGCGGGCCAGGTCCCCGCTTGCGTGCCCAGCGCGCCCGCGGCATCTCCCTGCGGGGGCGGCGGCTGGGGCTACGCGTGGTTCGACCTCGGGGCGGCCGTGGGGGGCCCCAGGCGCGGCGCTGGGGCTCGGAGGGCTCCATCCGGCGCTGCAGGGTGCGCCGCTTTCGCGGCCCGCGCACAGCCATCGGACCCAGGTGGCGCTCGAGGTGAGCCATGGTGACGTGGGCGTTTGCTCTGTACCTCGGGGCCAAGCTTCGACAGGTATGGCATCAGAGGCTGGCGCTGGGCGAGGAGGAGTTGTCGGGCGGAAGACTCGAGGTCATCGCTACCCCCGATCGCCACGACTATGCCGAGGTCAACAGCGCAGGTTCCCCCGATGTGGCAGCGGTCCGCGGGGCGGCGGGTTTCCCCGTGGGGCCCGACGGCCTCCCGCCGAACGACGTCTACAGGTTCAGGTCGGAGCCGACGGCGGCGGAGGTGGCGGGTTCCACGGCGGCCGCGGTGGCCGAGGCAGCGGCGGAGGCGGCGGCTCTGGCCGCGGCACAGGGGCTTGCCGTCACGGCGGACGCCGCGCAGTGCCTGGTTCCAGTGGCCCCGCCCAAGTTGCTGGCCGGAGTTGGTGGGACGGCCGTGCCTGTTGCGGCAGCGGCGATCGTGCCCGTGGCTGCGGGCGCTCCCCCCGCGGCCATTCCTCCCGCGCAGGTGCCTCCGCCCGTGGGGCCGCGCCAGGGCGTCGGAGGTGGGGCAGGGGCCAACGAGCGCGTTGCCCGCTGGGTCGCCGCGGAGAGCTACCTACGGCGGGCACGAGCTGGAGGACGAGGTGCAGCGTGTGGCCGGGCCAGCGGCAGTCGGGACCAAGGACCTCCACGGGCTCGCCGACGGCTCGGGGCTGTTTGTGATCAACCTCAGGCCCGACGAGGAGTATTTCTTCGGCGGGATCGTGGCGGCCGACGCGCGGACTCTCCCCGCGTGTCGGGACAAACTCGGCCGTCGCGAGCGGAGCTGGGCGGACATGCGCGCGGCGGTCACGCGGGATGATTTCGGCAAGGAGTGGATCCCCCTTGGCGTCCGCACGGCGGCGTGGTGCCTGGAGCCCATCAACGCCGAAGGGGGCAGCCTCGACGGTCATCGCGATCGATTCGGGTCTGTGTGCCGCCTTGAGCCGAATGCCTGGGGCTTGGGCGAACACTTTCACCTCGCGGTGGCGGTCAAGGCAGCGCTCCTGGTCGACCAGCTGGACGGGGCCGACCTGGTGGCGATCGAGATGCTGCCGCGACGCGTGCAGACGATCGAGTTTGACCATCTCGAGCGGGCGAAGGAGGCGGAGTCCAAGGGCTACAGCGGACGTCTCAGCCAGGAGGAGCAGCAGGCCTTTGCGGGTCTCAGTCAAGGCTTGGGCCCTCCCATGATCTGCCCCAAGGCGCTGGGGGTCGTGCGTGCCAACGTGGAGCGGGAGGCGCAGCTCAACGAGGCCCTTCGGCAGGGTCGCGAGGAGCGCGAAGCCGTCCGCAAGAAGGGGGACCAGGGCTGACCAGCGGTCGGCCCGAACTTGATTGATGTCGGCCGGTGCGCCAGTGAGGGCGCAGCACGGGCTTCTTTTGCGCGGTTCATTATTCTTTCCCCTCGTTCCTCTCTTCTCCTCATCATGTGGGGCCGGGCCCCGACCGCCGCCTGCGAAACTTTCAGTTGCGGGGATGAGCCCTCCCGCCTTGTGCATCGTGGCGTTTTGCCCTTGCCGCGCCCAGCGGTGGAGAGGGCCCGGGGTGCTCTGGGGGGGCTTTCCCGTGGTGTTCGGCAAAAACTGGGGAAGCGTGACGGCGTCGAGCTTGACTGCGATCGCGCGGTCTGGGCTCTCAACTCTGTGTATCTTCACCACGGTCAGCCACCCGTGGGGTCTGGCGCCTATCGTGCAGTTTTTGTTTCCCTGGGGTAGCGGCGCTGTCTTGATCGGATTCGAGAATCGGTCGCCGCCCTGGGTCCGCCTCCGCCAGAGGTGACTCCCGCGGAAGCTCTGGCGCAGCTTCGCGTGGCGAGCTGGTATGACGTTGACTCTGCCGTGTTCGGTTCCTACGATCTCGCTCGTGTTCGTTGCCCTTCGGCTCGCCAGCTCCGGTGCCGCTGGAGACTCTCTGGGGCGCGGGCGGGCCTCAAATGATTAGGGACTTCGTCCGAAGCCGACTGCTACCGTCAAGCGAGGCGGAACATCGATTGAAGTGTGCTCAGGTTGTGGTGCCATGCAGTGACCCGAAACTGCGCAGAGTCGCGGCCTTTGAGGAATTCGTTCGGGGCTTGCACGGTCGTGGCACGCTCGATTTCAGTTCTTCTCGTAAGGAAAGGGTTGGGGCGTTTTTTCCCGGAAAGGGCATAGGCCCAGGGTTCTCTTTTAGTATGTAAACATGATGGACCCACGAACCCGGAAAGGGATATAGACATGTGGAGCACGGTCACGTTTTCACGATACCCAACTGGGCGACACCTCAAGAAACATCCCACGAGACACCCCGCGAAACATCCCACGAGACACCTCACGAAACATTCCACGAGACACCTCGCGAAACATTCCACGCGACACCCCGCGAAACATTCCGCGAGACACCCCACGAACAGGCAACCACTCAACCAAAGCACATCGCGGACGAGGACGACAACGGCATTCCACGAGACACCCCACGAAACATTCCACGGGAGTGCGACTGGGTGTGGTCGTGCTGGGGTGTGGTCGTGCTGGGGCGTGGTCGTGCTGAGGAGTGGTCGTGCTGGGGTGTGGTCGTGCTGGGGTGTGGTCGTGCTGGGGGGTGGTCGTGCTGGGGGGTGGTCGTGCTGATGGGGTGGCCGTGCTGGGGGGTGGTCGTGCTGGGGCGTGGTCGTGCTGGGGCGTGGTCGTGCTGGGGTGTGGTCGTGCTGTGGTGAGGTCGCGCTGTGGTGAGGTCGTGCTGGGGTGTGGTCGTGCTGGGGTGTGGTCTTGCTGGGGTGGGGTCGTGCTTGGGTGGGGTCGCGCTGTGGTGAGGTCGTGCTGGGGTGTGGTCGTGCTGGGGTGGGCTCGTGCTGGGGCGGGGTCGTGCTGGGGAGTGGTCGTGCTGGGGCGTGGTCGTGCTGGGGTGTGGTCGTGCTTGGGTGGGGTCGTGCTGGGGTGTGGTCGTGCTGGGGTGTGGTCGTGCTGGGGTGGGCTCGTGCTGGGGTGGGGTCGTGCTGGGGTGTGGTCGTGCTGGGGTGTGGTCGTGCTGGGGTGTGGTCGTGCTGGGGCGTGGTCGTGCTGGGGTGGGGTCGTGCTGGGGCGGGGTCGTGCTGGGGTGTGGTCGTGCTGGGGCATGGTCGTGCTGGGGTGTGGTCGTGCTGAGGCGGCCCGCACCCTGTGATTTATCGATCGGGATTTCGAAAACAAGCGTTTCGCCTGAGACATCCTCAAATTTTAATCGCCGGCCTCCTTCGACCTCGATATTTATCAGGGAAAAAATCCGCCGGCCTCCTTCAAGTTGGCACCGGGGGACAGGTTTACCAACTAAAAGAGAACCCTGGGCCCCCGCCCTTTCCGGGAACAATGTCCCCCGTGCCCAACTTGAAGGAGGCCGGCGGATTCTTTCCCTGATAAATATCGAGGTCGAAGGAGGCCGGCGGATTAAAATTTGAGGATGTCTCAGGCGAAACGCTTGTTTTTGAAATCCCGATCGATAAATCACAGGGTGCGGGCCAATCAGCACGACCACGCCCCAGCACGACCAACCCCGGCACGACCACGCCCCAGCACGACCCCCAGCACGACCACACCTCAGCACGACCACACCCCAGCACGACCACACCCCAGCACGACCACGCCCCAGCACGACCACGCCCCAGCACGACCACACCCCAGCACGACCCCAGCACACACCCCAGCACGACCACACCCCAGCACGACCACACCCCAGCACGACCACACCCCAGCACGACCCCACCCCAGCACGACCCCACCCAGCACGACCACACCCCCACTCAGCAGGACCTACCCAGCACGACACACTCCCCAGCACGACCACGCCCCAGCACGCAGCCCCAGCACGACCACACCCAGCACGACCCCCCCAGCACGACCACACCCCAGCACGACCACCCAGCACGACCACACCCCACACAGCACGACCACACCCCAGCACGACCACGACACACCCCAGCACACGACCCCGACCACACCCCAGCACGACCACACCCCAGCACGACCTCACCACAGCACGACCCCACCCCAGCACGACCACGCCCCAGCACGACAGCACGCCCCAGCACGACCCCAGCACGCCCCAGCACGACCACCCCCCAGCACGACCACAGCACGCCCCAGCACGACCCCAGCACGACCACACCCCAGCACGCACCCCAGCACGACCCCAGCACGACCACACCCCAGCACGAGGACCACCCCCCAGCACGAGCCACACCCCAGCACGACCCCAGCACGCCGACCGCACCCCAGCACGACCACACCCAGTCGCACCCCCGTGGAATGTTTCGTGGGGTGTCTGGTTGAGTGGTTGCCTGTTCGTGGGGTGTCTCGTGGAATGTTTCACGGGGTGTCTCGTGGAATGTTTCGTGAGGTGTCTCGTGGAATGTTTCGTGAGGTGTCTCGTGGGATGTTTCGCGGGGTGTCTCGTGGGATGTTTCGTGAGGTGTCGCCCAGTTGGGTATCGTGAAAACGTGACCATGCTGCACATGTCTATATCCCTTTCCGGGTTCGTGGGTCCATCATGTCGTCCACTAGAAATCCGGGGCACTCCGGCTCGTAATTGATTGTCGTAGGAGTGGTTGCCATTTCCAAGACCCCGCCCCGGTCTCCCTCCTCGCAGGCGAAGGCCTGTCTGGGCTGGGGCTCGGTGAAGGGGGGGACCTTTACGTCGGGGGGGGCAACCTTTCGGGCACTTTTTACCATATGCAGCTGCCTCTCTCCCTTAGAACCTATTTCGTTTTTAGGGCTGTGCGGGCGGGGGCCGTGGGGTGTGACAGGGCCGGCGGGGAACTGGTGCCTCCGACAGCAATGGTGTGCCCCCGACTGGCGGTGATACCTGTGGGATGGAGTTGGGCTCTTTGGATGTGTCAGACTGTTCACGAGCGTATCGTCGAGGGCGCTGGAGCTTCCCCGGAGGCCCGCATTGTAGACGAGCAGGCGGCGCCCGATCTGACCCGTGCGTGCCGCTCCGAGTACGCGGGCAACTTTATTGCCGTCTCTACCGATGCTGCTGCCGTCCGCGCTCTCGTAGCCGATACCATCCGTGCTCTTGAGGGTCGTGGCCTTGTCGTTCACGAAGAGGAGTACTCTGGGGGGACAAGGTGGCTCAGGTGTTGGGGTGGCAGATCGACGGGTCCCGGGGTCGCGCGGCTGCCACCCCGACGCGCCTCTGGAGGGCTCGTCTCGCCATTGGGGCGGTCTTCCGTAGGGGTAGGTGTTCTGGGCGGGACCTGGAACGCCTGCTGGGCCATCTTGTGTTCTTCTCCCTGGTTCGCCAGGAGTGGTTATCTGTTCCTTTTATGCGTTCGCGAGGAAGCATTGCTCCGATTGTGGGGATCGTTTCGACGCGAGCTTGCTCTGTGAGACGGTCTGGCTCCTCTTCTTTGGCGAGATCTTCGGACGGTATGGAGCGAGTCCGTCGTGGCCGTTGACGCCTGCGAGCGGGGGCTGGGGGCGTGTGCCGCCCGCTGCGGCGCACCTCTGGCGCGTAGTGTCGGCGGGACCTCGGGAGCAGCGGCGATCCCTTTGAGACCCCGCGGCTCTGTTGGGGGTTGCGAACTGCGCGACCTGTCGCCACTTTCGCTGGCTGCTGGGAGGTTCGGCGGAGGTGAGGGCCAAACGGATCATGTGAGATCTCGACGCGCGCGATTCATCGTTGTTTGGCGAAACGTGCCAGAGTGATGCATATCTCGCAGCATGGTCTTTCATTTGAAACGCCCATATAAGTAGTCGCTTCGTAGGAGCAGGGGTTGTGTACGTCGCGAGCAATGTTCACGAAACGATGAGGTCTGGGTCCCACCTTCCCCCCTCCCTCGAGGTCCGCTTTGCCATCTCCTTGAGGGCCAATGCGGACCTTTCGTAATCGTTGGTCCAATTGCAGGGTTCCGTATCTCGAGGAACAAAAACCAACATGAGCTTTTGGAATCCCTCTCGGGTTTTTCCCGGAAAGGGCGGGGGCCCAGGGTTCTCCTGCAGTGTGGTAAACTTGCCCCTGGTGCCTCAACTGAGGGGCGCCGGCTGATTTTTTCATTGATAAATTTCCAAGTCGAAGGGCGCCGGCGGATTGAAACGCTTGTTTTTTCAGAATTTGTTGAGGATGTCTCGAGCGAAACGCTGGTTTTGCAGAGTTGGGGATGTCTCGAGCGAAACGCTTGTTTTTCAGAATTTGTTGAGGATATCTCGAGCGAAACGCTGGTTTTGCAGAGTTGGGGATGTCTCGAGCGAAACGCTTGTTTTCAGAATTTGTTGAGGATGTCTCGAGCGAAACGCTGGTTTTGCAGAGCCGACCGCGACGCGGAAAAGCGCCCCGAGCGCAGAAATTCTGAGGATGGTGCCGT